AAGCAACGGGTGGCGTGACGGCGGGTCGGGCCACGGGGGGGGTGGAGAAGGGGCGGGGGGACCTGCCAAACGGCACCACACGAGACAGGGAGAGGACGGCGCGCGCAGGCGATGAGGGAACGACACGCCGCAGGCGGGGCGAAGGGGCAGTGCAGAGTGAGGGGGAGGCGCGGGGATACGCGGAGTATGCCCAAGGGCGGGCAGGGACTGAGGGTGCGCGGAGCAGCGGGGAGGCGGCCAAGGCGCGGAGTACGGAGGGGCGGGAGGCGACAGCGCCAAGGCGAGCAAACAGAGGGCGGCGGGGCGGGCCTCCGCAGCGGGAGAAGGGATGGCCAGGACGGGGGGTCGCGGGTGAGGGAAGAGGCGCACGTCGCGAGGGGGAACAGAACCAACCGGGGGCGGGCAGGCGGCGCCGGCGTGACGGGCCGGGACCCACCAGCGGCGGGGGGAGGGCGCAAGCGGCCGGGGCTCGGGGGAGCAGAGCCAGCCGGGAAGATGAGGTAGAGGCAGGATGGGCGAAGCCGCCAGGGCGGGGACGCGAGCAAAGAAGGGGGACGGGCCCAAGGAGCGGGAGCGGCAAGCGGGTAACGTGAGCGGCGGGGAAGGGGGCATAGGCGGGCAAGTGGGAAAACAAGGGCCGGGGCGGCAAGGAGCGGTGGCGACGCACGGGCGGGGCCGGGCCACGGGGGCAGCAGGAGGGGGGGGCAACAAGCGCGGCGGGCGGCCGCGTGCGACAACAATCGGGGGTCGAGCAGGAAACGGGGCAGCGCAAAGGAGGAGCGGCCGGCAGGAAGGGAGGGGCTAGCAGCCGCGACCGGGGCGAGCACCCCGCCGGAGGCAAACAGGAGGCAGGACGGGGCCAGAGGATGGGAACGACGCCATGCGCAGGAGAGCCAGCGCCGCGCCCCAAGCAAGCTCAAGGGGGACGACGGCCGGACGGCGAGACAGCAGAGGGGACGTGAGGGGAGGGGCGAGCCGGATGGGCGATGGGGAGGGACCGGGCGCGCGGGGCCGCCGTGGATGAAAGCCGGGAAGCGGAAGCGGCGGGAGAGAGGCAGCAGGTGAAAGGGCGAGGGCCGCAGCGCGGAGGGACAGAAGGGCAACACCCGCACCCGGAGCAGCAAAAGCTCGGGAGGTGGGGCGCGCTGGCAGAACCGGCAACAAATCAAGGGCACGAGGAGGGGGACACCAAGCAAGAGAGCCGAGCGGGGGAAGGGAGGCGGCGGAGAAGCGCCTGCGGGGGGGACGGAACCGCGGGATCCGCCCGAAGCACTGGCGGAAGGAAGAGGCCGCCGCTGCAACAGGGCGCTCGGGAAGAGGCGGCGGGGCCAGGAGAGGGGCCCAGGCGGAGAATGAGTCCGGCGGCAGGGAGGGAGCCAGGCAACAACGGGGGGCAAGACGGGCGGGACGGCCGCGCAGCTGGGGGGCAGAGCGAGGGCCCGGGCGGCGGGCGGTCAACCCAGGGCGGCGGGGGCGCGGCAAAGGACAGGGGCCAACAGGGGGCCGGGGGGGGGGGGAAGGAGGAGCAGCCGGCGCTCAGACCGAAGGACGGGGGAACGCCGGGGGGCCGAGGAGCGAGGGGCACAAGAAGGGAAGCGGGGCGGGGGTAGGGCCGGGCCCCCAGCCTGCGGCAAGCACGCGCCAACAACGAGCCCGTAGTGACGTCCCACCAGGAAAGGGGGGGGGGCGGGCAGGGGCATGCAGCCAGCGCAAGCTGGCCAGCACGAGCAAGGCGCAGCACCGGAGCGGGAAAGACGAAGCAGGGGCAAGCGGGGGGGCCGAGGGACAGGAGACTGGCATAGAGGGGGGGGCGGCCACCGGAGAAGCGGAGGCGGTGTACGCGGCAGCGCGGGGAAGGCAAGCAACGGGAGCTGGAACAAGGCAGCAACAGGGGGACAGAGCAGAGCCAGAAACAGAGTACGGCGGGGGCGGCAGCGCGGCAAGGAGGCGAGGACCCCGAGAGGTGCGGAAAGGACCGGAGCCGGTAGGGGCAGGCACGGGGCAAAACCCGGCAGGGAGGCCGGGAGGGCAGGCGACCGCGGCGGGGAGGGGGGCGGGAAGGGCGGGCCCCCGCGGATAGGCGGGGGGACAGGGTCCGGGGAGGACGAGGGAGACGGACAGGGAGCCCCGCCAGGCGCAAGACGCAAAGTGCTCAGGGCGGGGAGCACGACGGCGAGAGGGCGGCAAAGGGCGAGGCGGAGGCCGGCAAGAGAGAGAGAGCGCGAAGCGGGCAGCCCGGGGAGGCACAGGGCAATGGCGAGCGGGGGGAGAGCCGCGCGGGACAGGGAAGGCCACAACGCCCGCCAGCGCGCGAGGGAAAGCGCCCACACGCCCGCACCTGCCAGGGGGGGGGGGGGGGGGGCCAAGAAGGTCGGACAAACCGCCGGGGGCTGGAGAAGCGGGCACCCCCCCCCGAAAACGCGCGCGCCAGAGCAGGCCAACGAGGAAGGCAACCAGGCGCCGCGGCGGGGGACGGGCGGACAAGGGAAAGGAGAAGGGCCGCGCAAGGCACGAGGCAGGGGGGGGGAGGTCGCAAAGGCAAGGGGTCGAACCCAGAGGAAGGGGAGAGGAGGCAGTGAAGAAGGGAAGGGAGGAAAGGAACAAGGGATAAGGACGAGAAAACAAAGAAGAGCAAGAAGGAAGAGGAGAATAACGGAAAGCCAAAGGAACGGAAGCAAAGGGAACGGGAGAGAGGAGGGGGCGAAAGCGAAGGAGAAGGGCAAAAGGGCAAAGAAGAAAGAGCAAGAAAACGCGGAAGCGAGGAGAAAAGTAACAAAGAACCAGAAGAGCAAAAGGAACAGGAAAGGGGAAAAAGGCGAAACAACAACAAGCGGAACACAGGAGAAGAGAAGACAGAATGGGACGAGAAAAGAAAAACGGCAGGCAGAGGGCAAAAGGCGCAGGAGAAGGAAGGCAGGGGCTGAGGCCAAAAGGAAACCAGCCAGAACAGGACCACCCCGCCAAGGGACGAAGCCGGTGGAGCAAAGAAAACAAAAAGACGGTGAAGGGAAGGAAAAGGGCCGAGGCGAAGGAGAGAAAAGAACGAACAAAGGCAAGAAGAGGAAGGAGAAGACAGAAAGAAGGGGTGGGGCCGAGGACAAGCAGAGGGCGAAAAGCGGGGGAAGGAACGAAGCAAGACGCTGACAGAAGGCAGAGGCCAAAGGAAGGGAATAGGGAATAAAAAAAGGAAAAAGACGGGGGCAAGGTAACAGGGGCCGGGCCAGAAAGGGGAGGGGCGGGCAAAGGGGGGGGGCCGGCCAAGGAACGACGCCAGGACGAAGGCAGCACGGGGGACCGAAAGCGGCGCCGCCAAGCACGGCCACCGCGGAAAGCGCCGGCGGGGGGGGAAGAACAAGCCCCGCCGGAGGGGGCCGGAGGGAAAACGGAGGGGGGGGGGAAGGCGGTGGGGAAAGTCGGGGGCGGAGGAGGGGAGAAAGGCGGGGAGGAGCCGGGCGCGGAAGACGTGAGACCGAACGGGAGGGGAGCCGGCGCACGGCGGCGCCGGACACGAGGAAGGCGGGCAGAGAGGTCGCGCAGGAGAAGGAGGAGCGAGCGCGGCGGGCGCGGCGGGAGCGGACGGCGACCGAAGCGGCGGAGGAGGGAGGAATGGGGCCGGCCGCGGCGCAGAGGGGAGGAAGGAAAGGGCGCGGAGCCGGACAAAGGGACAGAGCGAAGCGAAGAGAAGAGGGACAGCGAAGAAGAAGAAGAGAAGAAGAGAAGACAAGAAGAAGAAGAAGAAGAAGAAGAAGAAGAAGAAGGGAGGAAGGGGGGAAGAGGAGTGGGCGAAGAGAAGGCAAGAAGAGACAGAGGAAGAAAAGGCGGAAAGAGAGGAAGGGAACAAAAGACGGGCGGCAAGAAGAAGAAAAGGAGAGAAAAATGAAGCAAGGAGGGGCAGCGGAAGAGAAAAGGAGGGAAAGAACAGCAAAAAGAAGGGGAGCAATAGCGCCCCACACGGAGGAGGCGGGGCGCAAAGGAAAACAGGATGAACAAGAAAAGAGAGGAAAGAAAAGCAAGGAGGAGAGCGTAGGGGGACCCAAGAGGCGGGCCAAAGGGAGGGGCCGCGCAAGGCAAAAGGAAGGAACGCAAGACGGGCAGAAAAGAAGGACGGAAAGGAAAGCGGGAGCAACGAAGAGAGAAACGGGGCCGGATGCGAGTACCCCGGATGAGAGCCGAGACAAAAACGCAGAAAGGAAAGACCGAAAAGTGCACAAAGAGAACCGAAACCAAAGGCGAAAAGGCGTAGACAAGGGCAGGACAAACCAGGAAGGGAAACAGGCGCGAGGAAAAGGCCACCGAAGCCGCGGGGGCAGGAGCGGGGCAGGAGGGGGGGAGGGGAGGCCAGGCCCGGAGGGGCCGCCGCACGAAGTGGGGCGACGGGGAGGAACGGCCCCACCGGCGAGGGAAAAAAGGGAGAAAAAGAAAGGGGAGGCGAGGGGAAAGAGGCGCGCGCCAGGCGGGGGCGGGAGCGCCCGCAGGGGCAGGCCAGGGGCGGCAACAAACAGGGCCGGGGGAGGAGGCAGGGCCGGGGAGGGGCAGCGCGCGCGGACAGAGGGGCGGGCAAGCCGGCGGACGAGGGGGCAGGCAAGCGCGGCGGCCGCGGGGAGCCGGCACCCCGAGGGGCCGCACGCGGCGGCGAGGCAGGGCCGCAGCCACGACCGGGGCCGAGCCAACCAGAACGCGCCGCAGAGGAGGCCCGGGAGCGGGGAGCCGAGCAGAGGGCAGCGGGCAGGAGGAGGGCGGGAGGCCAGGGGAGAGGCCGGCCGGAGAGAGCGCCGCTGAAGCACAGGGCAAGAGAGGAGAGCTGGAGAGGGCCCCAAGGGGCGCGGCCAAAAGCGGGAAACAACAAAAAGGAACGGTGGAATAGGCACAAAGGCCGGGGACAGCGGGGGGAGAAGGCAAGAGGCCCAGGGACAAAGCGCGGGCGAGGCCGCGGAGGCGGCACGGCGGGAGCGAGGAAGGGCCGCCGTGATGGCAAGAGCGGAGCGCGGAGGGAAGGGCGGATGCGGCGAGATGTGAAGGGGCGCAACGGCCAACAACAAGCGGCAAGAAGGGAGAGGGAAGCAACCAGGCAAAGGGGCAAACACAGGCAGGGAGGCAAGGGCGGGAAGAGCCGCAAAGGACCGGCAAAAGACGGCAAGAGCGGCGGGAGACAAGCAAGGCGGCAAAGCCGCCAAAGTACCGGCCAAGTGCCTAGGCAAAGGGCCGGCCAAAGGCAACAAAAGGCGGGCATAAGCCGCAAGCGGGCGTCACGGCGGCAGTACGCGGCAAAGGCGCGCAACGCCGGAGGGGCAAGCGCGGGCAAGCGGGCAAGGGGGGTGGCGAAGGAAAGGAAGGCGCGAGGGAGACGAGAAGGCGAACGAACAGGCGCAACAAACGCCCGCGGAAGGAAGAGAAGGAAGGGAAAAGAAACCGAGGCCCAAAAGCAGAGGCCAAGGGCAGGAGGGAGGCGAAGGCAAAGGCAAACGAAAGGAGAGGAGAAGGGAAGGCAAAGAGGGAAAGGGGGCGACCAACGAGAAGGAGGCGAGCCCAAAGCAGGCAAGGGGCGAAGCAAAGGAAGGAGGGAGAGAGCCAAGAAAGGAAAGGGGCCCAAGAAGCAGGCCGAGGGCGGGCCAAGACCAGGAGCAGGCCAGGGGGGTGGCAAGGGGCGGGACACAGAGGAAGGGAAGCGGGGAGGAATCCCGGCCCCAAGAGGAAGGGAGAGGGGGGAGGGAGGGGAGACAAGGGAAGGAAGGCGCAAGGCCAGAAGGAAGGAAAAGCGGCAGGACGCCAGGGCGGCGGGAGGAACAGACGGATGGGAAGCGAAAGCGAGGGGAGAGAGGAAAGCCGCCCGAGGAAAAAGCGCGGACGGAGAGAAGGCCGAGGAAAGGACAGAGCCGGGGAAGCAAAGCGGGCAGGCGGGAAAGGGAAGAGGGAAGGACAGAGCAGGGGAAGAAAAGAGGACGAAGATGGAGGGGAGACAGGGAGGAAAGGACAGAACGGGAGAGGAACAGAAAGGGGAACAAAGGAGGAAGAGGGAAAAGCAAAGGAAAGGCGAGGAGGAAGAGGACAAAAGGAAAAGAGGAGTACGAAAGGGACAGACACCAGAATAAGTGGAGGACGAAAAAGGGAAGGACGCGGCCGGCAGGGGGGGGCGGGGCGAAGGACAGGAGCGATGAGAGAGAAGAGAGGAGAGAGAGAGAGATGAGAAGAGAGAGGAGAGAGACAAGAGAGAGAGAGAGAGAGAGAGAGAGACGTAGAGAGAGCGAGGGGAGACGCGCAGGCGCGAGGGGAAAGAAGGCCAAGGGGGAGAGGGGAGGAAGTACGGAAAGGGAGCAAGAAGAGGAGAGGATAGGGGAAGCAGGGAGAGAGAAGCGAAGGGGAAGGGGCGGAGGGAAAGAGAGAGGGGGAAGGGGACGAAGGGAAGGAAGGCAGGAGGGGAGGAGAAGGGGCACAAAGAGCGAGGGTAAGGGGCGAAAGGACGCGAAAATAGAAGAGGGGAAAAGCAGGCGAGGAGAAAGAGAGGTCGAAAGAAAAGCGACAGGGGGGTGGAAAGGGCGCGAAGCCGCGGAAGGCGCGGGAGGAGCAGGGGCAGGCGGAGGCAGGACAGAGCGCGGCGGGTGGGAGGGAGGGCGCCAGGGCAAGGGGGGAGGGGGGTAGAGCAGAGGGGAAAGCAGCAGGAGCGAGGGAGGGGAGTGAAGAAGGGGGAGCGCGCGCGGGGCGCCGCGCCGGGGGTGGGTAGAGATGAGAGCACGGGCGGCCAGACACGGAGCGCGCCGGCAGGGAGCGGGCCACGATGAAGAGCACAACGAACACAAGGGAACAGGGGCACGACCCAAGACCAAAAGAAGAGGAGAGGGACGGAAGAGGAGAGAAGGGACCAAGGCGCCGCAGAGAAGGAGAAGGCGGGAGAGAAGGGAAACCAAGGGGAGGGGAGGAACGAGGAGGGGAAGCACGAGCGGAGGGAAACCTAGGAGGGGGAGGAGGAAGGAGGAGAAAGGGACCAGCGAGGAGGGGAGTGACAAGGAGAACAACAGAGGGCAGGGAAACGGACAGGCCGGAAAGGACAAAGAGCGAGGGAAAGAAGCAAAGGCAACAGGCGAGGAGCAGGACCGGAGCAAACGAGAAGAGAAGCGTGGAGGGAGAGACGGGAAAGGACGGAGAGAAAAGAGAAACAGGGGGCAGGAGGCCAAGCGCGCCAGGGCCGCGGAGGAAAAACGAGAGAGAGAGAGAGAGAGAGAAGAGAGAGATAGAGAGAGAGAGGAGAGAGAGAGATGAGATAGAGAGAGAGAGAGAGAGAGAGAGAGAGAGAGCGAGCAGGCAGGAGGCCAGCCAACACAGGCAGCAGAGGGAAAGGCCAGGGGGAGGCCGCCAAGGAGGAGGGGGGGGCGACCAGGAGGCCGACGCGGGGAAGGGGGTGGAGCAGAGGACAGCCGGAACGGGAAGGGGAGGGGCAAGAGGAGCCGGGGGGAAAGGCGGGGAAAAAGGGGTGGCTGGGGACCGGGAAGCGAAGGGAAGTAACGGGGCGCAAAGACAGAGGAATAGAAGCGGGGAGGAAACGGCGAGGGAAGGACCAGCGGAATAGCGGAAAAAGCAAAGAGGGGAGGACAACGGCGGAGTGAAGGACAGAGCACGGAGGCAGGATCGAGAGGGGGAAGACGGAGGGCAGCGAGAAAATGGCGGAGGGAAGGACAGCCGGAGGGAAGGACACGAGAAAGGGGAGGCAGGAGGGAAGACAGCGGGCAGGAGAAGGGAGGAACTGGGGTAGCAAAGACAGAGAAAGAAAGCGCCAGGAAGAGCGGGGAAGACAAAGAGGACAGGAAGAGGGGAAAAACAGAAAAGGGGGAACCCAACAAAGGGACGGAGAAAGGAGGACCGACAGCGGAGAGGAGGAGGGGCCAGGGAAGGGAGGAGAGGAAAGGAGGGAGGGAGGAGGCCAAGGGAAGGGAGTGGGCGAGAAGGAAGGAGGAGGGGGGCCAAGCCCAGAGAGGGGAAGGGAAAGGGAAGGAGAAGGGAGGGGAAGGGGAAGGAGAGAGACGAGAAGAACGGGGACGGGAGGGGGGCAAGGGAGGGGAGGAAGGAAGGAGGAAGGAAAGAGGGGAGGGGGGAGTGATTAGGGAGTGAGACGGCGAGGAGAAAGAGAGCCGGCAGGGCAGGGCCCCAAAACACACGGGCAAGCGGGAGAAACCGGGAAGACGCGAAGAGGGGGAGAGGGGGAGGGCGGAAGGCAGGGAAAGAACCGCGGGCAGGAGGGGAAAGCAGGGGGGACGGGGCAGGCAAGGGGAAGCCAGGGCAGGGACGGGGAGCCGGGCAGAAGGAGGTGCCGGGCGCGAAGAGCGGGAAGGCGGGGAGGCAGGGAGGAGGAGCGGGAAGCAGCGGGTAGCCAGGGCAGGGGGGGAAACGGGGCAGGGGGGGAGGACAGCGAAAGGCGGACGACGGGGGGGAAGGGCGGGCCAACGGAAAGCGCGGAAGCGGACGCCACGGAAAGCCCGGAGGCGACGCCAGGGGGAAGCCGGGAGGCAGGCCAGAGAGACGGGCAGGGAGAAGCAGGAGGACGAGACATAGAGGGGACCCCAGGCAGATGTTGAAGAGAGACATCACGCGGGACACGTCAAGGGGGGAGAGAGACAAAAGGACGGGGGGGTGGACAGAGGGACGGGCACGCCCAGGGGCGACAGACGCTGACCGCGCAGCGCGGCACGGGGAATGGGCGCAAGCGCTGAGAAGGAAGGAAGGCGAAAGGGCATGCAGAAAGCCCGCGCAGAGGAAGAGGCGCAGGCGAACCCGGCGCCAGGGAGCAGGCGCGGCGGGGCGGGGGGAGAGCCAATGGCGGGGAGGAGCAAGGACGCGAGAGTCCGAGGGAGGACGAGGGGGCAGCGCCCGAGGCCCAGGACAGGGCCCGCCCAGCGGCCGAAAGGAGGGATCAAAACGGTAGGGCACGGGAGAGCGGCACAGGACAAAGGAGCAGCGCCGACAAAAGGGAAACGGCTGGGTGGACCATGAGCGGCCAATAGGGAGGGGAGCGCCAAGCAACAAGTGGCCGGCGGAGCCCGAGGCCCGCGAGAGAAACGCCAGCAGGGGAAGGCAGCACAGGCGGCACGGCGGCTGGAGAACCGCACCGGAAGGGCAAGCACAGAGACACATGCAGGCCCGCGAGACAACAAACGCGGCGGCTGTCGGGGAAGGTGACGCGAGCCGGGGCCGGCAGGGGGGGACCGGACGGGAGACGAAGGGGGCGAAGGGGGAGGGGAGAGGGGGGGAAAGGCGGAGGGACGGGAGGGAGGGGGGGGAGAAGCCGAGAGAAGGGGGAGTAGCAGCGAGCCACAAGGGTGGGAGAGGGAGGGGAGGGCCAAAGAGGGGAAGGGCGAGGCAAGGAGGGAGGCACGCGGAGGGACGGGAAGGGGGCAGGGAGGAGGCCAAAGAAATGGGGAAAGCACGAGGGGGGACAACGCGAGCGAAGACGGGCGGGGAGGGGAAGCGGGCGGAAGAAGGGGGGCGGAGGACAAGCAAAGGAAAGAAGGGGTGGCTGTGAGGGAGAGAACAGGAGGGGAGGGGAGGGGAAGAAGGGGAGAGGGAAAGCGGCCAAAGAATGGGGAGGAAGGGAGCGAAGGGGACGGGAGGAGGACAGAAGTAGTGGGGGAAGAGGAAGCGAGGGGAAGAGGAGGGGAGGAAATGCGGGCGAGGAGAAGGAGAGTAGAACAAGAAGGCCGGAACCCCAAGGGAAGAAGAGAGGAGGAGGAGGAGGAGAGGAGGAGGAGGAGGAGGCAGGAGGAGGAGGAGGGAGAGGAGATGAGCAGACGGAGAGGAGAGGAGAGCGGCCAGGGGGCAGGGCAGGACGGAGGAGAAAAGAGGAAGAGAGCGCAACGGCAGCCCAGCCGAACGAAGAGGCCGGTCCCAGGCAGCGAAAGACCCGAAAGAAGAGCCGGCGCTAGGCGCGGCGACCAGCTAGGCCAAGAAGGGAAGAGCGGGAAGAGAAGCAGGCGAAGCGAGAAAAGAAAGGGCGAGGGGAAGAGGGCAGCGACCGCCGCACTCCCAGGTAGCGCAGCCGGGCAACGGAAGTGCACCACGAAGGCCACCATCCAGCGGGGAAGCCGGACAAGGCCTGGAGCGGCGGGGGGGGCCAACAAAAGCCGGAGAGGGCGGGGGCGGGCGGGCCGGACGAGGCGGGCCAACAGGGCCCGGGAAGGCGGCGGCGGAGGGCCGGGGACGCACAAACACCGGGGCAAAGGGCAAAGCAAAGGGCGGTTGACAGCAACGGGGAAGGGTGCACACGGAGGCCGGGGGCCGGGCAGGAAGGCGAGGGCAAGGCGGGAGAGGAGGGGCCGGGGGAAGGCAAAAGCGGGTGCGGCCAGAGCGTCGGAAGAGCACACAAAGCGGCGGGGCGGCGCAGGCAGGGCGGGCCGGGGAAGGCGGGGGCCGCGAAGGAGCAGAGCAAGGGGAAGGACCAGGAAAGGGCGGGGGGGAGGGAGAAAAGGAGAGGAAAGGGAGGGGAAGGGGCGGGGGAAGGGGGCCGAAGTAAAAGGACGGCAGGAGCAGGAGAAGGGGGCAGGGAAGCAAGGGGGGAGGAGCTGGCAAGGAGGGGAGCGGAGAAGGGGGGAAGAGGGGGGGAGCGGGCAACGGAACAGGGGAAGGGGAGCAGGCGGGGCGGGGGGGAAGGGGAGGCCGGAGCGGCCGGAGGGGAGGGAGCGAGGCGGGACAGGGAAGGCGACAGGAGCGGGAGACACCGGGAAAGGAGCAGGGACAGGAGGCAGGGACGGGGGAGGGAAGGGGAGGCGAAGCGGAAGGAGGGCAGAGGGGCGAGGAACGGGAAGGGAAGGAAGCAAGGGCAAGGGAGGAAATGGAGCAGAGGCAACGGCCGCGGGTGGGCGACCCGGGGCCGGGCCGCACGACCACGACACGGGAGCGGGCCACGGTGAGGACAGGGAGAGGGAAAAGGGGCCAACAGGACACAGGACCGGGAGCAGGGGGCGGAAGAGCGGGAAGGAGAGGGAGCGCGAGGGGGGACCGCGGCGACAGCACCAGGAGGACGGGCAGCGGCTGGGAACGCACCACCACCCCAAGGAGAGGGGAGCGGGCGGGCACGGGACAGCGAGAGAGGAGAGGGAGGGGCGGCCGGAACGGGAAAGAGAGGAGAGCACAAAGCGCCGCAAGGGAAAGCGGCAGCCAAGGGAGGCACGTCGAGCGCGCGGAGAGCGGGCAGGAAGCAAGCCGAGAACAGGGGAAGAACGAGCCAGGCGGGCGCACGACAGGGAGGGAGGAGGAAGCCAAGGGAGGGCGGCACAGGGCAAGGAGCCCGAGCGCAGCCAAGGCACCGGGAAAAACAAGAAGGCAAGAAAGGGGGCAAACGCCGGCCCGAAACAGAAAAGAGAGGCCAGGAACGGAAAACAGCACCAAGGCGGGGGCGCCAAAGGACGGAAAAGCCCAGGCGTAAGGGCAGGGCCCGCCCAGCGCGGGGGACGAGAAGCAGGGAAGAGAGGCCAGCAAAAACAGGGAGCCGGGGCGGGAGCGGAGGGGCACCAGGGGGGAGGAAGGGGGAAAGCGCAAGGGGAGGGAAGGACAGAGAGGAAGCGGCCCGAAGAAGCGGCGAGGGCGACGACCCCAACGAGGCAAGGAGCAGCGGGCGCCGCGGACACGCCGAGGGAAAAAGGCGGCGGCGGGAAAGAGAAGGGGAGGAGACGGCGCGCGGGAAGGGAAAGAGGGAGCGGGGAGGCAACGGCCAGCCACCAACAAAGGCAGGCGGAAGGGCGCGCCTCGAGGGGGCGGAGAGGGAGGAAGAGGAGGGGGCAAGCAAGACAAACGCCGCGGCCAGAGGGGGAAACAGGCGACGAGCAACAGCCGAGGACCACAGGGCAGCCGGGAGGCGAGAAGGAGGGGGTAGGGGACCCAAAAAACAAAGGAACAAGGCGGGACAGGAGAGCGGGGAGAGAAGAACAAGCAAGGCGGGGAGAGAAAGCCAGCAAGGGACCCGCGCCGAGACACAAAGAGGAAGAGACGGCCCAGCACGACGAACCCAGGGGGCCCGGGCGCAAGACAGGCCGAAGGCGCGGCCGCCGCCAGGGGACAAAGAGGCCGGGAATACGCGCCGGAAGAGGAAAGAGAGACAGGGGGAAGAGGAGGAAGGGCAGGCCCCGTGAGGGAGGGAGGGAACGAGGGGCAAGGCCCAAAGCCGCGGCGGAGACCGGCCGAGATGAACGGGAAAGAGAGGAGCGAGGTGGCGGGGGGACACACACAGAAGCGGCGGGGGGGAAGGGGAGGCCCGCGCGAGCAAAGAGGAAAAGGAGGGGGAGGGAGCAAGCGGGCGGGGGAACAGGCGAGCACGCCCGGGAAAGAATCGGGCACAGGCCACCGATGGAGCGCGCGCAAAGGCCGGAAGGAGCAAGGAGGGAAGCAAGGCGGACAAAGAGCACGCGGGACAGCAGACGCGAACCGCAGGAGCCGGAACACGAATACGCAAGGACACGAGGGGAGGGGAGAGAGCAGGACAGGCGGACAACGGGCGGCGGCCGCCGGGGAGACAGGGGAGAAGGGAGGAGGGGCCCGCAGCCGGGCCCCAAGGCCGCAGGGGAGAAAAGGCGGGGGGAGAGAAAAGGGAGGGCGCGGAGAAACGCCCGCAGGAAGGCGAGAAGCAGACGGGGCAGAGGCAAAGGGGACGGAGAAACAAGGGGAGAGAGAGGCGGACAGAGCGAGGGGGACACTACCGCGGAGCCAAAGGGGAAAGGCAAAGCAAGGGGTCGAGACCAAAGCCCAGGGCGACATAGGAACGGGGGCCCACGTGCAAGGAAGGGAAACAGGAAAAGGCAGCGCCAGGGAATCGCCGGGAAGAGGAATGCGCAAGGGGGGACAAGGCAAACAGGGCGCCGAAGACGCACGGGCGGCGGCGACCCGAAGGCCGAGAAACGGCGAGGCAAAGCGCGGAGAGGAGCCCAAAGAGCCACAAAGCGGGGAAACGCAGCCCAGAAGGGGGGGGGAAAGGCCAAGGCAAGCAGAGCGCAACGCAAAGGAGGGGGGGAGGGGCCCCCGAGCCAGGCGAAGAGGCAGAACAGAGCCACAAGGAAGGGCAGCACGGCGACAGAGGAGGAGGAAAGGGACAGAAGCAAGCGGGGGGAGGAGAAGGGGAGAGGGAGAAGCACGACAAGCAGGCGGCCGGAGACGGGGCGCGAAGCCCAAACCTGGCGAAGAGAAAAGCAGGACAGGACAGAAGGGGGCCGACGCAGGAGGGCAAAGAGCAGACCAAACCCGCCGACGGAAAGGGAACCCGCAAAAAAGCGCAGGGAGGGGCGGGCCAGCGCGCAGGAGAAAGAGAAGGGAAGATGCCATGGCGGGGGGGGAGGGGGGAAGGGCAACCAAGGAACCAGGAGGACACACCCAAGGGCAAGATAAGAAGTGCAAGAAAAAGGAGGGCAAGTGGGGGAAGCAACACCAAGGCAAGAGGAGAGGGCAGCGGCAGGAGAACAGGAGACGAGGAGAGGCCAACCGAGGGGGAAGAGGCAGAGGAGGCCCGGCAAGAGCGAGAAGAAGGGGGACAAGCCGCAGGGGACGAACGAAAAGGAGGGGGAGCGAGGAACGCCGGAAAGGCCGCGACCGAGCGGCAGGAGGGCACGCCGGGCCAACGAAGAGGAAGAAAGAGAGGGCACACGGGGAAAGAAGAGAGCGAGGAGGGGCAGGGACAGACAAGGAGAGGCCAGGGGGGACCCAAAGGGAGCCGGGCACCGCGGGCCAGGGAAAAAGGGGGGGCGCCCGAGGAAGCAAGCGCAACGGCGCGTGCCGCCCCGAGCGCAGGCCCGCAAGCGAAGCAGAAGGCAACAAGCGGAGAGAGGCGGGGGCAGGCGCGAAGGGAAAGACCCAACGGGGAGAGCCAGCAGGGGGCCGGGGCGCAAGAAGAAGGGCCAGAGCCGCGGGGGCGGAGACGGCGAGAGCGTAAGGGGCAGGCCCGAAAGAGGACGGCCCGCGCCCGAGCACAGAGGGAAGGAGAGAGGCCGGAACGGGACACGAGAGCAGGGCAGGCAGGGAGGGCGCAGCCGGGACAAGCAAAGCCGCAGGGCGCCAGAAGAGGAGGAGGGACAGCGGGGCGGACGCCAAAAGGGAGCGACGGCGACAAAGGGAGGCCCGGGGGGGGAAAAAAGGCAGGGGCGACAGACCAAAGGGCCAGGCAGACGAGAGGGGACGACAGGCGGCAGAAAAGGGGGGAAGGGGACGGAGAGGACCGGGGGGGGAAGGCGAAACGGCGCACAGAGCACAGGAGGCAGCGAAGACAAGGAGGGGACCGCGGGCGAAAGGGCAACGCAAAAGGAACCCCCGGAAAGGGGCGGGGGGGGGGCGGCGGGAAAGGCCGGGGGGGGACGGGGCGACAGAGGGGCAGGGAGAGCGAACAAGCAAAGAGCGACGCGAGAAGGAAGAGGCCGGAGCCAAAGAACCGGCAGGAGCGGAAAAGCGGGCAAGGGAAGGGGGCGGAGAGAAGAAGAGGCAGAGCAAACCGAGCAGGAAGAGGGCAGCCCGGGAGCCGGGGAAGGAAGAAGGGGGGCCCAGGGGGAGGGGAGGAGGCCGGCAAGAAGGCGGGCCAAAGCAGCAAGGCCGAGGGAAGGAAGCCGCCGGGGGGACGGCGCCAAGGCCAGGACGCGCGGGGAGCCGGGACAGCGCGGCCCAAGAAAGCGCGGGGGGGCGGACGGGCCACAGGAGAAGGAGAACGGGAAAGAAAAGGCCCGGGAGGAGGGAAGGAGAAGGAGGACGCCAAAGGAGCGCAAAGAGCGGCCAAGGAGAGGGGGGCGGGCCCGGGGAGGCGCCAGCAGGAAGCGCAAGCAGGAGGCGAAGCGCAGACAAGGCGACGAGGGGCCAGGGGCAAACCCAGGGAAGGAGGGCAGGGCAAAGGGGGGGCGCCGAGCGACGGGCGAGGGGGACGGAGGAGGGCAACAGGGGGAGAGCACGGAGGGACCACAGAAGGCCACACGGGCAAGCCGGAGCAGAGGGCCGAGCGGACAGCCAAGGCCGGCCGAAGGGGAGCGGGCAGGGACCGACCGGAGTGAGGGACGGGCGGGGGGGGAAGGGACCGCCAGGGAAGAGGGACGGGGGAGGGAGCAGCACAAAGAGGGGGCAGGCGCGGGAGGGGGCGGGGGACACCGGGAACCGGGGAAGCGCGGCGCGAAGAAGGGGGCGAGGAGCAGGCACGCAGGGGGGGACGGGAAAGGGCAGCCGAGAGAAGCAACGAAGGGGGAACAGGACGGGGACGCCACAAACGAGAGAGCAACCAAGGACGGGGGGGGGACGCAAGGAAAAAAGCCGGAGGGGAGCCAGACAACAGGGAGGCAAAGACGCGCCGGCAGGGGCGAGGAGAGGCGACGAGGGAGACAGGGCCAATGGAAACAGAAGTAAGCAAGCCGATGGCCGGAGCGGCGGGGGGCGGCAACGAGAGCACAGCCGAGAGGTAGGCGCGGCAGGACGAGGAGGCCAAAGAGGGAGCCCGCAAGCGGCGAGGACGAGGGCGCGCGGGACGACAGGGGGGAACGCCGACGGCGGCGGGCGAGGAGGGAGAGAAAGAGGAGGGGAGGCCAAGCAGGGAGGGACGACCGGGGGGAGGGGAAGGGACCGCAAGACCCGCGGGGAGGGGAGAGGGAAGACGGCGAGCGCCGCGGGCAGAGAGGCAAAGAGGCGCGAGACCGGCGCGGGGAGGGGGGGGGGCGGCGAGGGGGAGGCGAAGAGGAAAGCGGGACAAGCGAGGGAGGAGGCGCACGCGGGGAGGGGGCGGGGCGCAGAGGGGCGGTCCGAAGGGACAGGGGCACAGCAAAAGGAGGGGGGACGACGGGCCGACGAGGTGGAAGGAGGGCAGAGACGAGGCACGGAGAGGGCAAGCAGGGCAAGGCGCAGGCGAACGGGAGCCAGTCAACCGCCGGAACCGCTGACATCCGAGCGAGCGGGGCCAGGGGAGGCGGGGCGCGCGGGGGGGGGGCCGAGGACACCCAAGCAGCAGCAGGGCAGGCGGAGAGAGGAGCAGCCACCGAGGAGGGCGCAAAGGGGCGGAAGCAGGGGCGGGAAAGGAAGGGAAGAAGGAAAGGGGGCAGACGGCAGCCGAGGGCACAGGAGCGAAGCGGGGGGGCAGCCCGCGGGAGAGCCGAACCGACAACGGGGAAACCAGGCAGAGAAGAAGGAGGGAGAAAAGCGGCCAAACGGGGGGAGGGCGAGCAAAGAAAGGCAGCAGCGGAGGCGCAGCGGCAAAGGGACGGGCCGAGGCGGGGACAAAACGCGAGGCTAAGCGACGAAAAAAGGGGGGGGGGCGAAGGCAAAACGGAGGGGCAAGAGAGGAGGGAAGAAGCACGGGGGCAGACAGAACGACAGACCGGACACCAACACAAAGCACGCCAGACGCATGGGGGAGGGGGGGAAGCAGGCGGGCCGCGGAACGCAAAGACCGGCGCGAAGAAGAAGGGGAGCGAGCAAGAAGGCCGGACAGAGGCGAGGAGAAGGGAAAGGGGCGTCGGGGGCAGAGGGAGAGCGCGCGAGGAGAAGAGAGGGCAGGTCCAACAAAGGGGAGAAGGCGAGCAAGCGCGAAGGGCGAGAGCGGGCAACAAGAGGGGAAGGAGGCGCGCAGGCAGGGGCGGACAAGGGGGGCCTGCGGATACGAGCAGAGGACAAGGAAAACGGAGCACAATGGACGCCA